CTAGTGAAAAAATTTAAAATAAAAATTTAATATTTGGCATGGTAAACATCAGTAATTTGTTCTCCCTGCTGGTCACTGATAGTTTGTTGATGTTCTTCAAAGTATTTTAACAAGTTACCCAAAGCCTAATTCTGTCCAGCCCTTAAGAAAGGAGAGAGAGACTGTAAAAATTTCCAGAGGAAGAGTTTTCTGAAATACATATTTTAGCAATTTATTTTCAGATAAGAGTTGTATACCGGCACTCTGATGTTTTCCAGTCTTATAAGAATGAACTACATTCTGTTCACTCTTCAATGACTCTTAGCTGAAATTCATAATTACTTGATACTAGTGAGAAGAAAAGGCATTATGTTGACATTAAGCTCTTGAATTCAATATATTAATAAAGAGAATTGCTTGCATACAGTTAGTATTTCTGTTCAGTTTGTTTAGTCTGTGCATAACTTGCACAGTATTGGATAAATTCTGCAGTTGAATGCCATTTAATCTATCATGGCCTACATCTCAAGATTTTATTTCTGGTAACTCAGTATCTCTTCCCAAATTGTAGGTTTTTCTTCTGAAGAGTAATAGTCAGTTGCGCCTTAGTAGCTAATCATCCCTTTCCTTTTCCAATTGGCAGAGCTCTGCTTGTTGTATGGAGGGCACACTGCAAGAAGAGTTACAGTTTGGAGGCACTAAATGAATACGTCTTGCTGTGGTGTTCTTGTGTGTCCTATAGACCAAAACAAATGCCTAGAATTCTCAAGAGAAATATGGGAATTAGTGACAGAATTAATTCAGATTTGCTCCTAAAAGAAGCTACCCTAGAAAAATAATAGAGTATTCTACCAAAAGAATCCCCCTTTTCTATTATATTCTACTAATACAAAATTGATATTTTTCAGTTTTCTTTTTCTGTTAAGCACTACCTAACAGCAGAGTTTTTAGGGGTTAAATCTTTGTCATTTTTTTCTTACATGATAAACTTTTAAGATAGAGTGCTAGCAAAATTGGCTCTTTCTTTTCCAAGCCTTTAAACAAAAGTGCTTTTAGTGTGTTAAATGTGCTCTGAACCCAGCTACTGAATTGGTCCTCTCAGGGGATTTGCAGTTTGCAAATTCGAAAAAAAGTTTTGATATGAGATTTCTACAAAGATGTTCACCTCAGTCATGAGGAAAATAGATAATAAAAATATATAATAAAAAAAAAGTTTCATTGTTTCTGGGAAATATATGGCTGCTAGTGAACTCACGGACACCTTAGCAGTGAATTTCTCTCAAAACTTGCACTTTTGGCATCTGAACACTTTATTGGTCTGATTGTAAGTTGCCATCTTCTTGATAGTGATTAGTCAGGCACTGAGCCAAGTTTATAGTAGCTTTGACTAATTGTATAGTAATCACAGGAGGTGCTGTTAGCTCTGCTTCTTACATAAAGCATTGCCAATAAAGAATTGCTAGTAAAATATTTAACGATATTTAAAAAATATTAACATTAACATTTCTACAATAGTTGTGTTAAAGAGTAACAAAGTTTGGCAGAAAATAAACCCCCTTGCATTCCAGCTTGTCCTCAGATATCAGAGGGGCTGGCAGCAGCTAGGCTTAGATTCTGAGTGTCAAATTCAGCACTGTAAGTCTGGTTGCATTCAATATATTGAACTATCACGATTACGGATGCACTAATAGTGAACTGTACTTTTAGTTTAGTCATGTTCAACGAACTATCATGGCCAGACTTAAGGAGTGTGGTTGTGTTCTACAAACTATCATGGCTAGATTTTAATGAATAGTACAGCTTATTAAAGCAACAGTACAGGTTCTTTTCTATTGCCAGTGATAACTATACTGTCTGCAAAGCACGTGCAAGTAATAATACAGTTGACTACCAGCACATTAAATTATGGAAAAATTCTATAGAGATTTCTGAGTTTCCCAGGGAAGCACTTGGTATAACCGAGGGTTTGAATCTTACTCTATAGGTGTCCCTGTGGGGGAGGGGAAGAGAGGTTCAGCCTGTCGACCGATCCCAGAAGTCAGCGATGTCCTCCTGTCGTGGTTCAACCCCAGCCAGCAGCTAAGCACCACGCAGCCACTCACTCGCTTCCCCCCCACCCAGTGGGATGGGGGAGAAAATCGGGAAAAGAAGTAAAACTCCTGGGTTGAGATAAGAATGGTTTAATAGAACAGAAAAGAAGAAACTAATAATGATAATGAAAACACTAATAAAATGACAACAGTAATACTAAAAGGATTGGAATATACAAATGATGCACACTTCAATTGCTCACCACCTGCCAATCGACACCCCATTAGTCCCTGAGCAGCGATTCCCCCTGCCCCCACTCCCCCCCCGTTTATATTCTAGATGTGACCTCACATGGTATGGAGTACCCTGTTGGCCAGTTTGGGTCAGCTGCCCTGGTTGTGTCCTGTGCCAACCTCTTGTGCCCCTCTAGCCTTCTTGCTGGCTGGGCATGAGAAGCTGAAAAATCCTTGACTTTAGACTAAACATTACTTAGCAACAACTGAGGACATCAGTGTGTTATCAACATTCTTCTCATACCTAACTCAAACACATAGCACTGTACCAGCTGCTAGGAAGACAATTAACTTCATCCCAGCTGAAACCAGGACAACCTTCCAACTTGTCTATGATGGGATCTTCCCTAACATTCCTCCTCTCTTAAGCCCTTTTATACTGTCTTGTTTCTAGGTGGAGCTTGAGTGACTCTAGTCATTCATACTTCTATTATGACTGGTGTAAAATCTCCTGGCTTTACTTTTAAAGGCACATGCTAGAGAAAATTCAGAGCGCGTGCTCAGTGAGGGGTGGTTGCACCTTGAAGGCAGGTAGTTTTTGGGATGGAGGTGTGTTTTAGTATTATTATGACATTATAATGAGCAGAGTTCACCCAGAGAACATGATTTAGCATGTCACTACTTCAGAACTGGGCACTTAATGATATAAATCAGAAGTAAGGCCATAGTGTTGACAGAACCCCTATTATTTCACCTTGGTTCAGTGGATTCAGTGCAGGGACCTTCCATTCTTGTTCTGGTAGCTCCAGTTCCCCAACTCTGCAGTGATATCACAGAGCCTGGCTGCAGTGTCTCCACTCCGCTCCACCCTCCATGTTGTTTCTCTTAGAGTCAGCATACCACGCTCTCCTGGTGTTGCTAACATCTAAGGTTGCAGGTTATGTTGCTTAGGGAATTATTATGGAACAGATTTCTTGTATATCCACTGCATTCCACCCTGGAGGTTTACCTTCCCTTAAGGGGGGTGTGTGTGTGTCATATTGATAAGTCACCTCCCACAATCATTCCACAGCAATTAGACTTCAGGCGTAACTTTTTATTAAAAATTTCCATGCCTTGTTAAATACTACATTCAAAGTGTCTATATTCATTACATATTTTTTATACATTCTTTAGAATGAGACAGAACTTCATTGTCATATGTTTAGTTCAGTGGTCTCCAAACTTTTTTGATCAAGTACCCATATCAGTAAAAGAATTTCTGAGCACATCTCACCAATATATGTTTATGTATTTATAGTTATATACACGTACTATGAAAGTTCTAATGTTTTCTTCCTGCACCGCAGTGGGTTATCTTGCACAGTCCCTGGGGTACACACACCCCACTTTGGAGACCGCTGGTTTAGTTTACATTTTGGAACTTTCCTTCAGATCCACAAAAATGTTGAAGAGAACTGTGCCTATCTTGAAATGTGTGTTCTGAATCTCTAGAAATTGTCCATCAAAAGTAATGCTATTCTGAGCCAGATCATCAGCCTTCTTTAGCTTCAGATTCCTGTACACTGGAGCATGGGGGGGGGGGGGGGAGACAAATAGCTTTGTTCATTATCCTGAATTGTATCATTAAAAGAAATCCTTTCCTCTTTAATTATCACTTTGAAAGGTGTTCTGGGCAGGCAGTGACACATACATGACTTTTGCTGAAACCTAGTGTGATACAATTGTTAGCTAAGAGATTTTCTCAGGATCCTGAGGGGCACCAACAGCCCTTCCTGGTGCTCCCCAGCTCCACCTAAGCAAATGTGAAAATAAAAGACCTTCTTGATCTGGAAAATTTCAGTTAGAATTTTTTTTTTTTGGCAATATTTGGATTTGTTTACTGCTCCATATGCTTTTAGTACACTACTTAGATCTAATTTTTTTAATTCTATACTGTATTCTTTTTATTATTCTAAAATATGTTATTGCTGTACAGTGTGAGCAATAGCAATGACAAAATTTACTGTGAGACATGCTGTCTGAATAAACTTGTGTAGTATCCAGAAATAATTTCTGAATAGCAGCAGCTGTCAGATATAAACAGTGGGGGTTTTTTAAGAACTTTTCTTTTTCTTTGGAACTCAGAATAGATAAGACTAAACTTCTAACATACCTCCTTTTACTCTTTTGAAGTAAGGTATAGCCAAAATATACTCATTACTTTGCTAACCGTGAGCTTCTAGTTCTCACAGCCTAGTTAAATCTACAAAAGGTGAAGCCTTACAATTATCTGCTAATTATTTTCATGATGAACACATATGCTTTGGTAGAATAAGTTTCTCTCTTTCAGAAAGTGTTTCGTAATTACAAGGGAAATAGAGAAATAGACACCTCAAGAAGTTGGACATTTTAAGTGTGTGAGGCAAGGATACATAATTTACAAAGGAAAAATCTTTACTGACACCAGAGACTTTTTAATTTATAAAGTTATCCTTGTTTTTAAAGTGCTACATCAGATTTTTGTCTCCTATGGTTTTGCAAAGCTTCATTAACTACCATGGTTCTCTACTTACTTAAAATGAGAGAGGTTAAATTTCAGTTATTCAAAATGTATTATATAGGTCAGAAAAGAAATCATATTCCATAAGGAATATTTCTTCTTTCCCACCTTTGATCATATTAGTTTTCCGATAATTGCCAGTTACGACTACAAAGTTGCTATCCTACATGTTTTTGTGCAAGCTTCATAACTGCATCTCTGTATGTGTCATCTTTGCTTAGCTAAATTACTTGCCATACTGATCATGTTTTTTTCTTTCTTCATACTAATCTCAAATATAAAATTCATGTGAATCTCTGAAGTTAATAGCAAAACTCATAATAATTTCTGAAGAGCAGATTGGAGTATTGGAATGGCAAAAGCTTTCCACCAATTAACTGATTTCTGTCTCCAATGAAGAGCTGATTCCATGCTTAGAGAACAGTGAGGTCTTATGAGTTGTTTTTGTCTGTTAAATGTAAAATGAATTAATGATCTTTTTTCTGTGTTCACAATGTGTCTGAAATCAGATCTGGTACTGTAAGAAAATAAAAATTTTCTCTTCAAATAAATGTAATGACTTAGAAATATAAAAACCTTATTAACTATAAATGGTAAATCAGGTGTGTTGTAATCTGCTTCTAGAGAGGTGTAGTAAAATCCCTATTTTATGCAAAATATTAAGGGTCAAATTTTGTAGGTCTCATGTCTGCATTTTACTGAACTGTTACTACTGTCATTGAGTAAGTAAAGTAATTGATTGGGTTCAATATGCATCTGTGACCATAAGTTTTTAGTATAAATTAGTTTGTTTTTGAAGATATTAGACACCCATGTCTCTATGCTTGTGTATTTCCAAATACTGTATAAAATATTCAGAAGCACAATCAGAACTAATCTTCAAACACATGAATTATCTGCATAGGAATAGTAATCTAATTCATGCCTTTAAATGAGTTCCAAAAAAAGAAAACAAATTCTTGATGAAAAATAATGAAGCAAAGCCAGGACAGAAACCTCCAAAGACACAAGAGTAAGCTGGAAAGGAACTGATCTGTTCTTTAACAATGATTAATTTCCTGATATTCACACTTATTTCAATTTCTTCAAAACACAGCAACTCAGATTTCAACTAATGGTTTGAAACTAGCTTATATTGATACAATCTTGACTTGAAGTAGTAACCAATTAATTTTGTCAGACTAAGGCATCAAATATGTCTATATTCAAAGAAGTTTCTTATGTCAGAAGGATCTATTCATGGTGAATGAATCCAAATGATCTGAATGCCTGTGGAACTTCTGTTCATCGTTGTATTTTGTAAACAGGTAGCCAGTCACCCATGCAGGTGATAACTAAGCAATATCAAGATTGTAGGGCAGAGTTCTTAAATCCTTAAAATTTGTAGGGACAGATTCAAGAAGTCCAGGAAAAGGTGTTATGTGATGTTAACTTACTGTTAGATATATTTTTTTACAATTTTGCAACTTTCAGCTTATCTGTAAACTCTTCTCATGTTAAATAGACTTACTCATCTGAATAGTTGTGTAAATTGTCTGAGGCAGTACTTCCAAAATCCAGTGGAAACAGTTTACTTTTTTCATCTACTTTACTTTTTGCAGTGTTGTAAGAATCAGCACAGAGCCATGAGAGGTAGTGCACAATTAGGTGAACAGTCTTGTGACCAACTACTTGAAATCAGATGGGTTGTCAAAGAATGTCTTAAACCAAAAGACATAGGAAGTATTTAAAATTTTCAATAAGTAAGCAACAAGTTTATGTAGACCACTTGTTATGTCTCTGAGAGATTTTTCTAATAATCAATAATAGCTAAACAGAAATTTATCTTATTTTTACAAGTATATACTACACTGCCTGTACCCTGCAGCACTTAAAAGGTTGCAACGATTGACAACAAGTCTTCATGTGCTTCACACAAAATCAGAGACAGAGACAGGGAACCAATGATACTTGTTGAGATAAAGACCACAGGTAATGTGATAAAAGCAAAAATGTGGATATTGAAGGAGAAAATACAGTATTGAGGTTCAGAGGCAAATATAAATTACTGGGTAAAGAAATCACTTAAGAATTTTTTGATTGTCTTTTATTGGCAAACTATGGATTATAGGCTTGAACATAAAATATTAGTATATTAGAATATTATACTGTTATATTTTAGTAGAACATTGCTGTCACTACAGTTACTGCTGAACAGAAAGTACTCTGATATTCACCAAAAACCACAGATGTCTTTTGTTCATCTGTCACTTGACAAATGCAGTGACATCAGTCATATATAGCTATTAAAACCCTAAAGGTGTACATTTTTCTCCCTTTAACTCCAAAGAAATTCAATATTAACTCATAACATTTCATTATTTTATGTTGTAGTATCAGAAGCCTTCTTAAACTGTAAATAAGTATAGCTAATAGCTTCATCTTTGCGGCTTCTTATAGTTGTATTTTCCAATGAATGAAGATTCATATTTTAATCACTTCTTTTTTCCTCCTGAACCAGACTTTACAAAACCAAGTGATTGGTTTAATTTGTGAGATTTTTTTGTTGTTGGTTTTTGTTTTTTTTTTTTCTTCTGGATTTCAGATTATGGTACTGAAAGCAAATGTCTGTTAGGAATATTTCAAATCAGTATGAATAATAGAAATTAGTAGTCAAAGACTTAGGTTCCACTGTAGAATGACATGGCTTTCTTTTGAGACATGGCTACTCTGAGAAAAGGCAGCAAACACAACTCCTAACTCTACCACAGCATACACACAAGGAGATGTGCTTTACGTCCCAACTCTGCCCCAAAGGATGGACTGACATTCAGGTGGAACAGCAGATTGTCTAGAACACTTCCTGACTTTCTTCCCAGACAGAGATATGAGCTGCAAGTGTCATACAGTTTCTTATTAAAAACAAAGACGAAAAGCTGTGCTTGACCTTAGTCTCACTCATGACCTCAGAGGCTTCAGCTACTGATGATAAATGAGGAGCCTTCCTCTCATCAACCTCCTCTTTCCTTGTTTTCAGGCTTCTGGTGTGGCTTTGAACAGACTCTTCACCAGAGTATTGCTTCTCTGAGGGGTAAAAGTGGTGCAGGTTGGGTGGAAATAGTGACATTCTTTTGGGAGGCTAATGGGAGGGAAGGAGCAAGCCTTCATCCAGCAGCAGCTGAATCTTCCTGTATTCAGTATGGATCACATAAACACACTTTGTGAAAGTAGAGTACAACTGTATGGTAATTTCACATCTTAGTGTGAATTTTTTTATTCAGTTAAGCAAGATGGTCTGTCAGAATACAGAAGAAGCAATAATTCTTTAGCTTCTGCAGTTTATTTGTGGTGTCATAATAATCACTGGAGAAATAGAATAAGCTCATGTTTAGCTTAGGTTGCTTGTCAGTTCTACAGCTTCATACAGGAAAAGTTAACCAATACTGCATTCAGCAAAGATCTGAATATCAAAGAACCAACAATAAAACTTTTATTGACTCCAGCAGACTATGAATTTAGTGCCTTAAAAATGTCATTCACAAGCAGAAATGACATGGTTTATGTGCTTTGTGTTATTTGTGATGTGAGATGCAACCTACAGTAAATAGGGATATCAGTTTGTTTTTATTTAAGGTATGCTACTGTAAATAACCATACAGACTTTGATTTGTAAATAAATGCCTTTCATAGTCTTTAAAAATAGATAACACTATTTTGTGTAAGTCTAACTTTTACAAATTTCCTTTATAGTTTTCAGTGCTTCAGCTATTGATTCAGTGGGTTGGACAGTGGTTGCAGCAGAAAAAATGCTGGCGTACCATATGCCGATACACGTGCACAAAAAAGACACAGTTATAAAAGTGTTGTACTTTGTGTTCTACTATATAAACTCTTGTCTTTCTTGACATTAGTGGAGGTAATGACATAAGTTACTTACTGAAGTGTTTTGAAAATAAATAGAGCAGTTTCTCTTAATGTAGCAGTTTCTCTTTTTACTTCAAATACTTTTTTTTTTTTAAGATTATAAGCTTGGACACAAGAGAAAGTCTATTCTACTTTGTCAGAATAACTAAACATGAATATTCTATTATCTTGTATGAGGTGGTTCTATTTTTGGTCAATGGTATTTTAATCCTTCACATCTTGATTAATATAAGTTAGAGCTTGGTTTATGAATCTGCTACGTGTATTTTGTATGTGAATTAAAAGGTGAACTTTCTTTTTGTAGTCAAGACTTGTGGATCCAATCTTCAGGGACCTGGAGGCACTTTCACCTCACCCAATTTTCCATTCCAGTATGACAGCAATGCTCAATGTGTGTGGGTCATCACAGCTATCAATACTAATAAGGTAAGTTTAAAATTCTGGCTTTGCTTTAAAAAAACCCATCCATGTAGACCATGACATTTTTCACTAATATGATTTATCTCTACAGTCTAGCTGCTGTACTTGGTGCATTGCAGACATTTCTAAGAAATGACTGATATTAGATGTGTATGGACAGATGTTAAAACTTGTTTCCCCTAAGAGTGTTTTGCTTTTTGTATGCCAAGTAGATGCTATCATGTTTTTATGTGATTCTCTAAAATAATTCCTAGAAGCAACTACCCAATGGTATGAAGCAGTGTCATGGGTCCACTAATACTGTGTTATAATCAATAGAGCTGTTTTGTGTATAAGACTGTTTATGTCATGTTTGGCCTTAGACTATGTGAGAAATCACTGAAGTTCAGGAATTCACCTTCCCTTCATGAAGGTCTGTTCTAAAGTTGTGTAATTTATTTCATTGTCTGAACCACTGTATTAAAATCCCATATACTTTATACCTACACTTTAAACCAAAAGTACTGGGAGTTCTGATAATGCCAGATGAGTCAAAGTACAGTAATAAAGCTAAGTTATGACACCAGTTGTCTTTAAATTCAAGAGCTAGGCACCTGGCAGCAATGGCTATATTGTATTTCCAGGTGTATAATTTTATCTGAACTGAGTGTAATGGACTTGTTTAGATGTAATAAAATAAAAAATTAGCTGTACAGCTCAGGAATGTTTTATAAAGGACTGTCAACATCTGTGTTTGCTGGTACAGGGGTATATTCTACCTCCTAATTTCTGTTTTATGTTGCCACCTGCATCACACTCCATTAATTTATCAGAGAGGCCTAGAAGCCCTACCCCTTTACACCTGAGTTTATCAGAGGACTCAGTGAAAACCTGATTACATTTCAGAAGCCATTTAGCTACACTGGTGCATTTCTCCCTCTAATCTTACAAAGTCCTGTGTGGAAGCCAACCTTATGTTCCACTTCGGAAGAAGAAAAAAAGTATATTTAATGAAGTGATTATAATATTCATATTGAAGATGGTAGATGTGTTTTCGAGGGGAGGGAGGGTTGGCTGTTTGTTTTATCCTTGTTCCAAGGACTGCTATTCCAATTTATCCAATTTATAGATCATCAAAAATGTGTCAAGAGTCCTTGAAAGATGATGCAGTCTGTGTCCCACAGATGGGCAAACAGTTCAAATAGTTAAGTAATAGTTAAGATCCATTTTTCTGGTCCAAAAAAGCTTCATATTTTTATTCCTTTAATCAAAAACTGTTAGTGAGCAAGATGAAATCTGTGCACATCCAGAATTTCTGAAGGAAAGTTCTGTCAAATGTGGCAGTAGATAGAATTTAATATCATATTGTTTGAGAAAATTAAACACAGCTCTTACACTTTGAACAAGTGCTATAAATGGCTTGAAAACCACCACTAAGCTGTTGTATAGAATAAATTTAAGACCTTTTTGGCCATATTTTGAATGAAATAGTTTCCATTCTTAATGCAGAGAAGGCATGTCTACGTAACAAAAAAGCCAAATAAGATTTTATACATTCTACCAATGGTAGAAGCAAAACTTCAAGCTCACAGACTGGTATGCATCTACTGGTAAATCACAGGTAACTGCAGGTTTAAGATATTAATGACTTGAACAGTGTTAAGGATTACACTCGGGCAGAGGTATTTGTGTCTTAATGCTGCCTTCCTCCTCCCTCCCCTCCAGTTCACAACATGGTGATACAGTGTTATCTTCAAAACCTCAGAACTTTGTTTCAACCAAAAGTATTTTTCACTGGAGTTTTCAAAACCTTTATTCCTCAGTATTATTTTCCTTCCAAATTTCTAGTTTCTGCTTTTAAGGAACTTTGAATTTAAAGCTGAGTGCAGAAAATTAAGAAGTGAACAAATGCTTTCTCTCTGGTTGTCAGTGTGGTTCACAGAGTTACAGAATGATTGAGGTTGGAACGGACCTCTGGACATCATCTAGTTGAAATCCCCTGCTCAAGCAGGGCCACCTAGAGGCAGTTGCCCAGATGGTCTTTGAATATCTTGAAAGACAGTGACTCCAGAACCTCTCTGGGCAACCTATGCCAGTGCTTGGTCACCCTCACAGTGAAAAACTGTTTCCTGATGTTCAGATGGAACTTCCTGTGTTTTGGTTTGTGCCCATTGCCTCTGGTCCTGTCACTGGGCACCACTGGAAAGCGTTTGGTTCCATCTTCTTCACCTCATCCCTTCAGGTGTTTATACACATTAAAATCCACCTGAGCCTTCTCTTCTCTAGGCTAAGCAAGCCCAACTCTCTCAAGCTTTCCGTATATGAGAGATGCTCCAGTTCATTAATCATCTTAGTGTCCCTTTGCTGGACTCTTACCAGTAGCTGCATATCTCTCTTGTACTGGGGAGATGCAGTTGTTAGGCTTGTTTTCCTTTCTCTCAAAACGTTTAAGGGATGTGTATAAATTCTAGTTCAAATGAAAATGAAATAAACCCCCTCTTTAGTCAGTGGTCATGCCTGCAATAGTTCAAATACAAGGTTTTTAAAAGTTATTTTATGTTGGGTTGTTTTTTTTTTCTGAAACTGTAAATACTACAAAATAGCATATTAGCATAGCATGAAAACTGTCACAGATCCTGACTGGTAAAAATATGTACGCATACACCCAGTTTTAATATTTGGGGATGAACCAGAATTCATAGGTTGAACCTATGCTGGTTCAGTAAAATATTTCAGTGCATGCGTGGTTCAGTTTGATTTGATTAGTACTTATGTATTGCATTTACACGGTAAGGTTTTGGTAGTGGGGGGGCTGCAGGGGTGAATTCTGTGAGAAGAGATCAGGAGTTGCCCCCATGTTAGACAGAGCCAGTTCTAGCTGGCTCCAAAACAGACCCACTGCAGGACACAGCTGGGCAAATCGGGCAAGCTGGTGGCACCCCTGTGATGACGTGTAAGAAAGGGTAAAAAATGCTGTGCAGCAGCAGCTGAAGGAGGGGAGTGAGAATACGTGAGTGAGACAACCCTGCAGACACCCAGGTCAGAGAATAAGAAGGGAGAGGAGGTGCCCCATGTGCCGGAGCAGAGGTTCCCCTGCATCTTGTGGAGAAGACCATGGTGAGGCGGGCTGTCCCCCTGCAACCCATGGAGGTCCATGCTGGAGCAGATATCCACCCTGCAGCCCATGGAGGACCCCACACCAGAGCAGGTGGATGTGCCCTGAAGGAAGCTGTGACCCCGTGGAAAGCCCATGCAGGAGCAGGTTTCTGGCAGGAACTGTGGCCCATGGAGAGGAGCCCATGCTGGAGCAGGTTTGCTGGCAGAACTTGTGACACCATGGGGAGCCCATGCTGGAGCAGTCTGCTCCTGAAGGACTGCACTCTGTGGAAAGGTCCCGTGCTGGAGCAGTTCTTGAAGAACTGCAGCCTGTGGGAGGGACCCACGGGTCGTGGATAAGGTCGTGAAGGACTGTCTTCCATGGGAGGGAACCAACGCTGGAGCAAGAAAAGAATGTGAGGAAGAAGGAACAGCAGAGAAAAAATGTTACAAACTGACGGCAAGACCCATTCCCTGTCCTCCTGCACCTCCTGGGGGAGAGGAGGAGGTAGAAGAGTTAGGAACCAAAAAGTGAAGTTGAGCCTGGGAAGGAGGGTAGGAGGAAGGTGGTTTTAGTTTTGTTTTTATTTCTCGCTTTCCTACACTATTTTTAATTGGCAATAAATTAAATTAATCTTCCCCAGATCGAGTCTGTTTTGCCCATGACGGTAACTAGTGAGTGGTTTCTCTGTCCTTATCTCGACCCACGAGCTTTCTCATCCTGTCCTGCTGAGGGGGAGTGATAGAGTGGCTTGGTGGGCACTTGGGAACCAGCCAAGGTTAGATGAGCCAACTTACATATTTATCTGTCTCCTCATGTGTTTACATACTGTGAAAGTGTGGAGGATATAGTAAAAGAGTGAAAACAATAGTTAAGAAAAGGTCATTTATTTAAAATTAAGTATGAACTTTTAGATAAGGCCATAATCAAGAATACCTGTTAGTGGATGGTACATCAGAGAGTTATGTCAGTAATAAGAATGCAAAGAAGTAATGTTAGATTAAACAAGATATTTTATTTCAAAACATCAATGTTGGAGACTGGTCCTGCACTTCTGTGATGTACCACTGAAATTACTAGACTCTCAGAAGTCTTAGGTTCATTATGGGCAGATCGTAGTACAAGGAGTTACCCTGTTTATTATAGATACGTTTATAATAGCTTCAGCATTACCCAGAAAATACTGTTCTTTGCATGTTGTTGGTTGGTCATAATTGTACCTCTTTGATACTGCAATGAAATGCAGACTCACATATAATTATGGGGTTTCTAAAATAGCAGGTAGATAAAAGGCTTACAATGTTATCTGAAACAACATTCAGATATGTTTATAGTTTTCAATATAAGTAGAAAAGGTGTCTAGCACTGATTAGAAGAACCTAAACTTGTTGAGGTTAAAAGAAAATGAGATCATTTTACGAGTTAGATCAACTTCTTTTTAGCATATATTGAGGAATTTGCATGTCTAAAGTTTTTGCTTATGTAACCAGTGATTTAATGTGTTCAGTTTTAATTCATGGTAACATTGCCTTATTGTTCTGAACACAAAAATGCTTGCCTTGCATGACTGCTTAAAGACTTAACTTTTGATGTTTGCCTTGAAGTCAAAAGTGACATTGATGTATAATGAAGATTAGCCATTAAGAGTTATTTATAATGACTACAACACATGATGTCATAGTGCTCATTATAACATGGCGATATTTACAATATTTTATACTGCAGCCGTGAGAACCATGAAGACTTACTGATCCTGGTATTTCAGGACTTATTGATCTGGTATTTCAGAGCTTCTTCTGTTGCATCATTTGCAACAAAATAGCTCAGAAATTGAGAATCTTCTAAGGGAGAAAGCACTAGATGAAAGACCCTGAAAGGAACTTTTAACTCTGGTGTGAATGGACATTCCTCCCATGTCTACATGCCTATT